AGTCTCTAGATATTTGCCATGGTAACGAGGCGGTTTCCCCCCCCCCCCCCCCCCCCCGCCCCGCCCCGCCTTAGGTCTGCAACATCACTTCTGCACTACGATTGGCTAAGAAATTGACTGCTCATCTCATTTTCTCCCCACCTACTACACAAAAACTAAAATTATGCAAACTGCACGAATAATTTCCAGGAAGTTTCGCCAAAGCCCCTTTCCTGGGGCTATGGCTCCTTCTTCTTACCTTAAGACTGAGGGAATGCATGCCGCGGATTCAAGGGACCACAGGCATTGGACAGAGGGAACGTGAGGAGTCCCAGGGCAACCACAAGAGGTGCTGGAGAAAGATTGGGCGCCTCCAGTGGGTAAAAGTGGAAAATTCGCACCTCGTTGCACATCCCTTTCCTGTACTCTGAAGGCTAGATGTGACTGACCTGTCCTACACTCTGCCTTGCCGACATCGCCCATCTTGTGCTGTCAGAGCACGCGTGCCTCCTTGGGAGAACGTTCGGGACCGGAAGACCGGAGTGGTGGCTTATGGGAAATACAGTCTCTGGGCCTCCAGTGTCCGGAGTCTGAGACGGGACCTGAGACACTGCTGCCCCTAAAGATGCTGTTGCAGTCATTTGCCTCCGAGAGAAAAGGCTGTTGCGCTCCTTATTGACGAGGCATAGAAGAATGAGAAATGGTGAGAGCGTAGCTATAGACAATTTGGGGTGGAATTTGGCAGCCTGCTAAATTTCACCCTCCTGAACTGGCTCTGCTTATTCCTTAAGTCTCTTTCCTTGACTGCTGAGAATCCAGAATCTGACTAGGACTTTTATTTTGCTCACCTAAGCGTTGGGCTGGGAGAGTCGGGATTGTGTTTGGGTTTTTGTTTCTCCCTGAGAGTGCTATCTGGAAAGTCATAATACATGAAGACACTCAGCGGAGTGCTTGGAAGAAAGAGGTATATGGCCTTTGAGTCTAACGTGGTAAATGTCTCTGGTAATAAAAGCGATTTACCCATTGTGGGGTAGAGAATTGGGAGGGAGAAATATATGGTGTAGATCAGAGGATCTGTGGGTCTGTCCTTGTCAGTGGGTCTTGGCCAGCTCCCTCATTTCACAGAAGAAAAAAACAGAGATAATGGGCACTGCCCTAGGCCTCACCACTGCATAGCAACATTGAAATTAATATTCAGGGCTCTCCCTCCCATTAATGGGTCCACCTCCAGGCAAGACAATGAAATGTAGAGATCAGCTTCTCAGGCTTCTAAAGGTGGATAAGGACTAGGTAGGCAGTGTCAGGGAAAGGTGTCAGAATCTGGCCTTTCTGCCTAGACAATGGAAGTCTCAGGAATCTACTCTGTAGCTTGGCTATACAAAGAGAACTTACCTTTCCTGTAAGCCTCAGGAAGGGAGGAATAGCTATGTGAATCCTCAATAACAAGGAGCCTAGGACCCATGAAATTGGTAAAATGGGCATCTTCAATTGTATCCTACAACCCAGCCTCAGCTGTATTATCCCTTCCATTTCATATCCCCTCCTCCTCCTAATTATTATTATTATTATTATTATCAGTTCTAAACTAGAGGATTTCATTATTTCCTTCCTGGATACCTTTAGAAATTAAATTCCTAGTTGAGTGATGATCAACAGCATGGGAAATGGAAAGAGCAAAGGTCTTGGCCTTAGAAAAGCCTGGGTTCAATTCTCAGCTCTAATTAAATCTGACATAATCCAGCTACTTTTCTGAGTTTTCTCATCTATTAAAATGAGGATGATAATACTTACTTCATAAGGCTTCGGTAGAACACAAATGAGATTTTTGCCAGAGTAAAGCATTTAATACATGGTAGAAGATACATTTGTTTCAAGGATTTTGAACTTGGCTTCTCTCAGGTCTTCAAATGTCCTTGAATTGTAATTGAAGAACTAGAAAATTAAGAAACACAAATGGAAGTTTTTAGAAGAAGTCCTGGGGAAGATCTCTCTTCCTGAGAGGATGATCAGCAGGGGTATATAACAGGAATTTGAAATGCTATCATGCAGACTGAGATGGTGTTTAATTTCCATAGAGCTCCTATATTTTTGCTTATAGGAGGCTCTACTTCTGAAAGTCTGTATTTCTTTTCTTAGAAGCCAGCTTCCCTCTGGCCAGCAGTTGTCTTCTACACTAGACAATGCGTGCAAGGTCAGGCATTGGAGCCAGAAGAGATCCCTGCAGTGAAACTCAGGAACATTCTCCCTGGACTCAGGAATTCAACCTAAGTGGTAATTATTTTGGCCCTGAGATTTCCTGCCATAGCTTCTTTGAATTAGCTCTGACTCAGGTCTATGCAAAACTCAAGCCAATTTCCCAAGAAGCCTTCACCCTAAATGCTACAGCAACAAGGAATGGTCTTCAGGTCTCAGTCCAGAACAGGAGCAGGGAGTTCTTTTGGTAGAGTTGACATCACTGTATTAGTTCTCCAGTAGAGAAAACTGAACCATAACCTGAAGAACTGCTCTAAAAGGAGGGCTCACAACATCTGTCTCCCAGATTAGAGAAGCAGAGAAGGCCCAGGTAAGTGAGTGGAAATATTTCAGTAGTTTAAACCCAATATATACTAATAGGACAGAGAACAGTTTATGACTTCTGTCCTCTCATCCCACCCCAAACTTCTTAAGCTCACTTTCTGAAAGGCAAAGTCAGGTTGGGACCACTCCAGGACCTATGAAGATTCAGAAAGTCTTGAAGCCAACCACCTTTCTCAAATCAATTTTATGAAGAATAGACCTAGATTTCAAATTAATGTTGAAAAAATACAAAAAAAATACATTTCATCTTTCATTTTCCTAGCGTTACTAGTAGTACTACCTTTAGGGAGATAGACCCTCTTGTAATGAAAAGCAGAATATTGCTCTTTTCTAATTACTTTCTTCTTTTCTGAGTTATCCACCTTCCTAATTTCCCTCTCGTTGTTCACTGTTAAGGCTAGAGACTGGAAGATGGCATTTCCACTTTTCTTACAGTCAGGTCCTAAATAAGTTTTTCTTTTTTCTTACTGAAATGACAGGATATAAGTTAATGATTCCGAAATCATAATGCTGGGAAGTGGAGACAGCCATGGAATTTCTATGATGAAATTTGACAAAATACTTCAACAATGAAGCCAGAGGAGATGGTTTTCTGATAGTTTGGAGTGTGCGTTTGCTTATATGTGCATGTATTTCTGGAATTTGGTTTTGGAAAAGTGCTAAAAAAGGAGAGATGGTCCTACACATACTCATCCTGTGATACTAAGCTTCTAAGTCATGAGTTAACATTTTCTATAAAGGGCCAGATAGCAAATATTCTTTACTTTGCTAGCCAGAGTCCTAGTCACAACTATTCAGCTCTGCCACTGTAGCACAAGAGCAGCCATGGACAAAATGTAAACAAATGAGTATGGACACAATTTTATGTGTGACATAATTTTATGTCACAAAATATTATTATTTTAATTTTTTCAACCATTTAAAATAGTAAAAGCCATTCTTATCTCACAGGTTGTACAAAAACAGGCAGCAAGCTGATTTTGCCTATTCTATGTCCATGAGATTTCATTGTTCATTTTGGGAAGTAAGGAAGGGAGTGTAAAACGTGGGCATTTATAAAGAGAGAGCAAGCTGGATATTCAGAGTGAACATTCAATTTAAAAATAAGTCTAAATCAGGCGTATGGCCTCTGTTGGAACCCAGGGATTTTAAATATTACTTTTGATTTTGATTAGCATAATACATACACTAAGTATTAAAAAATCAAGTAGTATTAAAAGACATATTGTAAATATAGAGGCTCTCTACCCCACTCCTCCTTACTTCCCAAATCTTCCTCTCCAGAGGCAACAGCTTCTGACTCATTGTATTTTCCCTTGGGCAGGACATCACTCAGGTGAAGAAGTAAAGCTTGGAGTAGTATACCTGACGAAGGCAATGTTTAGCTGGGGGAGCAAATATTTTGGACATTTCTGGGGACTGGAGTGAGGATAGAGAGAATTTCTGTAATGAGGTAGAAGAGACTTTCTGAATGGTATTAGTATTCATGGAATGCATAATGAACCTGTTTATTGGCATTTCCTGTGAATTCATTCACTTAATAAATTGTTGGGGAATACAGTTCCACAGGGACAAGGAATTTTGGCTCTTTTGCACTAATGTATCCTTGGCCCTGAGAACAGTGCCTGGCAAATGATAAGCATTCTATACCTATTTGTGGAATTAATAAATGGAGATACCACAGATAATACCAATACCCCAAAACATCATGTCATCCATAAGTACTAATTCTGGATAATGCCATGTAGTTCCTGTCAGTGAAACAGCTTCCCTGAATCACTCCGCATCCCTGCTTCCAATGAGGTGCGGGGAGCTCTGGAAGAAGTGGGGAAAGAAGCTACTTAGGGTGAAAATAGTTGGAGAACAGCAAACAGCACCAGGCCTGAGATGCCCTGTCATAAGTTTCCCTCTAATTTTTTTCTCATACTCTTGCTCTAACCTCAAGATAATACAAAAAACAAAACAAAAAAAACCAAAAAACCTAAGTCCTAAATTTGTGTGAATTGGAGTGGTTTAATTCCTTCCCCTTGAGTGTGGACTGGACCTACTGGCTTGCTCTTAGTGATAAATACAATACAGGAAAAATGATGAGCTGTCATTTCCACAGTTAGGTTATAAGAGATTTCAACTTCCATATGGCTGGCATTTTCTCTCTCTGGTTCTTCTGGTGTGCTTACTTTGATGAAGCAAAATGGAAAGGCTCATGTGGCAAGGAACTGAGGGCAGCCTCTCCTCAACTACTAGGGAGGAGCTGAGGCCTCAATCCGAAAAGACAAACACTCATGACACTAAATAAACATCCAATGTGCTGGATATCTTTCTTTTTCCGTTACAAATCCATTCTCTACCCTGCTCAGTGCTTCCAGGGGATGATCGGTACAGTCTCTATCATGGGCTTCCTTGCCCTCTGAATTCCATTTGGGTTCTAACAACAGGGGCACTGGCTGGAAATGAGAGGTGGAATGGAGAGTGAGTTCTGTGTATTTGTTCTCACAGCAACTTCTCTGTGAATGTAACCTTATTTAGAAATAGGGTCTTAATAGATGTAATCAAGTTTAGATGGAGTCATAGTGGATTAGAGTGGGCCCCTACCCAATGACTGGCATCCTTATAAGAAGAGGGAAATTAGGACACAGACACACGAGGAGAAGGCCATGAGATGATGGCGTTATATGTCTATAAGCTGAGGAATGCCAAGAATATCCAACAACCACCACAAGGAGAGAGGCATGGAGTAGTTTCTTCCTCAGAGCCTCTAGAAGGAACTAACCTTGTTGACACCTTCATTTTGGACTTCTAGCCTCCAGAACTATGAGAAAATAAATTTCTATTTTAAACAACCCAGTTTGTGCAGTTTGTGGTAATTTGTTATGGCAGCTTTAGGAAATAAATACCTTGATCGGTCATTTTTCTTTGGTGTTATGTTAGAAAGTCATAACTATGTGCTGAATGGCTCCATTACCATTTTAATGTGTCTTTTTTCCTCATTACGATAGTAATATATGCTATTGAAAGTACAGAAAAGTTTAAAGAAAAGTAACAATTAGGAAATATTATCCATAGTACTTCTATTGTTATCATTTTGGTATATTTCCATTTATCCCGTGTCTAACTGTGATTTTATATAGCTTTTCATATGATATATAGAATTATTCATCTTGATTTTTTTTTTTACTTAAAATTATAGGTAAATAGTCATGGAGTAAATAATTCATAAATATTTTGATGACTGCATAAAATGCCATTATATATGTGTTCCATGTTTTGCTTAACAGTTCATCTATTGTTGAGTAATTGGATTCTTTTCTTTTCTTTTTTTTTGTTATTGGAATCAATCTGTAATGCAGGGTACAATGCGATGAAGGTCTTGTTTCCAAAAGGGGATTTAGTGTGGCTCTTGGTGATTGGGATAGATTAGAGAAGTTAATGTTAACAGGGATGTCTCAG